TGTGATTAAATTATGTGGAACTGCTTTCAGGCTGGATCTAAAAAGACCTTGTCTCTTGCTCATTTCTCTTGGAGAAATGAGGAGGTTGGATTTACCTGTGAGTGATTTTCTTCACAGGCAGATTGAAGAGAGAGAAGTGAGCTTGTCTCTCTCCACAGGCTGACATTAAGCATTAGCAGGAAGACAGTTCAACTCCTGTCCCTCCTGGGAATCCCCACCCCCACCTCACTTTCCTCTCAGATGGGTCATAAGGGGTCATAACATTGGTCCAGAGCCCCAGCCCTTGGGAAGGAAGATGGGTACAGGTAATGTGGAGTTTGTTGTTTGCTGGGGCAGGCCACAGGACTTGTCTTACAGAACAAATGCAAATTGGTTGAAACTAGAACACAGCTCACAAATTGGAAAGGAAATAAATGTAATGCTAAAAAGGAGAGGTAATCGGACTTGGAGGGGATCGATTTTGAGCTAAGGCTGGATTGAGATTTCAGTGTCACTTATAATTACAGTAATTGGGAAACATTTACAAATGCCATGGATGGAGAGAAAATACAAAGGAGCCTATAGATGTCGGAAATGGGTCAGGTTGCTAAAACGAGATTCAATTCTACAGAAAACAAATTTCAAAGTGGGAAGTGAACTAGATTCTCTTCTGAGATCCACAGAAGACAAGTGCTGAAGGTCCAGACTCCTGGAGATACCCGCTGCCCAGGATAGCAGCCACTTTTTCCATGAGGCTGTCCCAGCACAGGGGCCGTGAGGTTCACCCCAGATGGGACTTGCTGTCGTAGGTCTAAAACACACACCAGATTTTGAAGACAGTATGAATTGTAAATGTAAACTATCTCATCTAATTTTAAAATATTCATTACATTTCAAAATGATGCTTTGGATATTTTGGGGTTAAATAAAATATATTATTACAAACGAATTCTCTGGCTTCCTTTTACTTTTTAAACATGGCTTGTGGAAATCTATAAGCTTGAGCCAGCTAGAACCTGGGGTGTGAATCTGTTGGTCTTTGTCTCTTTCTCCTTCTTGTAAAATAATGTTTGAGGAAGTCTCTTCCTCTTACCACATTTGGTGAGAAATGTCTAGGCAAAGATCACAGGGAAAATGAAGTGAGGGCCCCTAAGCACTGGCAGAAAGGGATTCCAAGTTCTCCTGGGTGTCTTCCTGAGTTTCCCCATAGGAGCTGGGGTTCAGGAAAGAATGCATTTACTGATTCCTGCCCACACTCTGATCCCGTACTCCAACCAGCTCCATAACCCAGGAGACTATACTGAGAAATGTTGAGGCATAGAGCATTGAGCCCTCATGAGAGGACAGCACCTTACCTTGCAATTGCATTTCAGAAAGTGTCCTTTCTCAGCCTCTGGGCCCTGGGAATGAATTGTCACATACTTGTGTTCATATGGAGTCCATTAGGGCTGAGCTGGGCAGGCAGGGAGGCTGTGTGTGCTCTGCACAAATGGCCACCTTGTGGAGGGCAGGGTGCTCCAAGCAGGAAGGAATCTAATATGGAGCTTGACTGTGTCTGCCAGCTTGGGCAGGGGAGTCAGTTTTCAGTCTGGAGTCTTCCCGGTCCTGCTTCATGTCTGTCACCTCAAAGCACAACTGTCAATAGGCTCAGGGGAACCTCACTTGTAACAAGAACTTGAGCTTTTCCCAAAGTCAGACTATGCCCAATGACTAGGGAAGTTCTTTGGGGAGGTGGTGTATATGATGCGGCTGTCTAGTAGAACTTTCTGTGAGAATGTTCTACCTACTGTCCAATGCAATGGCCATTAGCCACAGGAGGCTATGGAGACCTAGAATCTGGCAAATGTGACAGAGGAAATCCAGTGACCTTTAATTGGCTGGAGCTCCTAATTGAAGTTGTTGCTGTGTTTCTAGGCATTGACGGTTGGTTCTGTGGATCTTTTGACGGAGTTACCGTCAGGAAGAAACACGGATGTTTTGCTTCCATTTGCCCTTCCTCTATCCAAACAAACCATGAGGTTAAAAGCAGGCGGCACACTATTTCCAGTTCTTACCATGGTGATCTCAGGTGCCAAGTGGTTCAGTTCACAGCAACAGGGCCAGGGGCGTCAAGAAGCTTGCAGCTTCAAGAGGTTTATCCAGGAATCAACTTTCATCACAAGACTTAGTCTGGATGACAGTAATTTCCTGTAAACCGTGAAAGACCCTTCCCTGGGCCTGAAATTACAACTGAAAGAGAAGGGACTCTAGTGTGCTGTGGAGTAGAAACTGGTCCTCATTGGTCCAACCATGAGCGACTTCACATGCATGAAGCTGCATGGTGGTGAGTTATCCCATCTCTTAGTCCCTCACTACCAACATCTCATTGTAAATCAATGACAGTAATATTTGCTTCAAAGGACCTTAAAAGAATGAGGCCGGGGGCAGCTGTTGCTAAGTAAATAGTAAAGGGCTAAGTTAAAGATGTTACTGAGTTATGCCCCTTGAGCACATGTGCCTGATACTGCTTATGGGGTCACAGGGGTCCCCAATGGGGAAGCAAAGCATGTTGGGAAGAAACCAAGGAATCTGGAATTAGGAATGTCCTCAAAAATTGGGATTTGAGGAATGATGAGTTGCTGATATGTTTGGGGGTCCATGGGTTTCCTGTGAGCTTTTTTTTTTTTTTTAATAAATTTTGTGGTTTTAGTGAAGTAACCCTTTAAAAAGTCGAGCATATTGTGGATGCTGGTGATCTTACAGGAGGGCACTGTCATTGGTTTTTCCCCCCTATGTTTATGTTTATAATTACATTGATTCCAAGGGACAAAAGCTTCCTCATAAATGATTCATTTGCTCCAGGTGAGTGGAACAGTGGAAGGTTCTGCAGTAGTGGATGTAGCAGCAAATACAGAGAGGATTGTCTTCTCTGCACATGCCTGTGAGGCTGCGTTCAGGGCATAAACATCAGCAGCGAACTTCACTGTGGGCTAGGACACAGCTTCACTAAAGCAATGTCCAATGCATTAGCATTGCTATTGCAAGAATAATTTTATAGTTGTATTTGTGTTTAATGTGTAACTGGTTTTGAATCTGTAAGGCAAACAGGCTTATTGGAAGTTATGTTTAAGCATATTTAGAAATACTTGTAGGAAAAATGTATGTATATGTGAATTTATTAGTAAGCATAGTAAAAGTATTCAGAATTTCTCCTATGATGGGGACCTATGAGATTTTTTTTCTTTTAAAGGGATAAATAAACCCATTATTCAAGTTTGAGAAATGCTGGTATGTATGAACATGAAAGACAACCTAAGCTCAAGTGTTTAATTGCTCTTACTGGAGAGTCTTTGTCAATATAAACTGGATAATAATGTATAAACTATTAAATGCTGCATAGATAGTGTATGTGCTGTTCAGTCTGACAGTCCACATACAAACCACACCACTGTAGAGTGAACAAACAGAGCAGAGGCTTGCAAGTCTGTGGACGGTGCAGAATGCAGAAGCCCGGGATGAGGTCGATTGGTATTATGATGCTGATAATGCTCACAGATATCAGGCAGGCACAAATCGTGCTTCATCTTAAAAAAAAACTTATTTGTTCATTTTATTTATGTGTATGTGTGTGCTTGTATAAGTTTATGCGTGTCCCATGTGTGCAGGAACCTGTGGAGGTCATCAGAGAACATTGAATCCCCTGGAACTAGGGTTACAGGTGGCTGTGAGCCACCACATGGGTGCCGAGGCAGTGAGCACTCTCAACTACTGAGCCATTTCAGCATCTCTTCATCTTTTTTGAACTTTCTAGAAAATTAGGTTAACTTAGATGAGTTAGGGAATTTCAAGACACCAATGTTTAATGTCATTTTGACATCTTTATAGAGGTTACCAATGACTTTCCAGAGCAGAGGTCTCTTTGATTGTATCAGGCTTGTGTCTGGGGGATTTTGTGCTCCTTACATGAGTGGAAATGGCTACCCACAGTGCCCCTCCAGTTCAAACCTTCATGTCCTTGTGGGTCCCACAGGCTAGACTTGGACCCTTCCTTGACCTTTCTCACCCACCACTAATTATTCACTGACTCCCATAGCACTGAAAATATAGCTTGAATTCTAGAGTATTGCTTTTGATTTTTATAGAATGTCTATTTCTAGTTGTTAGATTTGAAGGCCTACCAGGGCAGAAATAACTTCTTCTATTTCATCCATACTCTACACAGTATTGAATGAAATACAGACACTTACTAAAGGCTCAAGGAGATCAATTTGGGTGACCTCGCTAGGGACAAGTAAGGCCTACATGTTCCTTATCACATTGGCCATTTCTGTGAGAATGCTAAAGCATGTTCAGGTGGAGTTCCCTGCAAGATCCACGGAGCCCACAGTAGTCTCATAGCATTCTCCAAAGTCATCAAAGGGCATTGTCTGCTATGAACCTTCTTTTGTAATTTAATTTAATTTTTTGCTAGAGCTCAGAAGTCCAGGGTATTAGGACTTGGTTATGAGATAGATTCACAGGATACAGCATCATATGAGATGGTTGTTTCCAAAGGAAATAGTACTAGATACTAGGTACTGATTTTCACATGGGGAAGACACAGTGAGAGGTGATTTGATAAGCAGTAAACGAGCCATGTCATTGCTTCTAAGGTCAGACAGGCACAGAACAATGCCCACACAGGTCTCCACCAGAGATCTCTGCCATCTAGTTCTCCACCATAGATCTCTACTATGGGTCTCCACCATATAGATCTTTAAAGTGATTTTCTTTCCCATCAGAGGTCCTGAAATCCCTATTGTGGGTGTCAAGAGGTCTGGTGTGATTCTCTGGCCTTCTAGGTATGGATCTCAATTTGGGCAATCTCAGACCCAACAGACCTCGAAGTGTGAAGGAACGTGGACAGTGCCCGAAGCAGGCATACCCCCAAGAAGACATGAGGAGACCAAGAGTTTTTTTTTTTTTTTAATTATTCCTTCATATTCAAACTTCACAAACAGTGTGAACTTGTACAATACCTCGGAAAGTGAAACTTACAAAAAAAGTGCTGGTAACATTTAAAAAAAAACAACAAAAACCCCAAAAAACAAACATCATTCTTAGCAACATCAATTACTCTTCCACACAAAACAGAAACCTTGTAAAATTTATTTTCGTATTTTTAAGGCGTAATACTTCTGTATAAAGTATATGCAAGAGATAAAACTTCACAGTATTCCAAAATGTCACAATAATAATAATATAATAGTATAATGAAGCGCTACAGTTAATTTTTCTTTTTTTGAATTTTTTCCTGTTTAAATAACAAATACAAGTCACAGGTAAATATACGTGAGAAAAATACGAGGCTAATATTAAATGGCAGGTACGGATACTGTCACTGTAAGAAAAACTGGCAGGGTGTGTGTATTTAGTCTATATCTTAAAGCACTTGATAGAAAAGGCGTATGCAAGGTTCTTCAAAACAATTTTCTGTTTGTTTAATAACTGACAACAAGAGTTATAATGAGAAAAAAAAAAGGAACAAACTCCCTCTCAAAACTATTGACCTGCTCGTCCCAGACCACGCCCCTGTGGGAGGATGTGTGTGCTGATGTGTGCTGGGGTTTCTATAGCGCAGACTGACGACAGTCTTCCACACCCACCTGCGAGGACAGCCATCCACCTGGTTTCTCTTAGGAAACGGTTCTTTCGATTTAATGGTCTCTCTTTCCTTGCCTCTCACTCTTTCCAGACTCTTTCCCAGTGCCCAGTTCTTCAGTCTGAAAGGTTGCCCTCCATTCAAAATTCTCCGGGAAATGGAAAACTGCATACAGTTTGTGACACCCACAGAGACATCTGAAATATCACTTGGACAAATGAGTTATGTGTATATATGTGTTTGTTAAGTCTGAATATACAGTGTGTGTGTGCACGTGTGTGAATACACAGTAGCAATTGCAAAAAAGGGACCATATTCCTTCCCACCCTAATATACAATGTGATAAGGAACATTTTTCCGTGCAGGGACAGGGTTTCTTCGAGTCTTATCACAACACTGTGGCAGGAAAATCAGGAAATGAGTTCGCCTTTCAGCAGTCACCACAGTAAACTTCATTGAGAGCACACATGGCCAGATGTCTGGTCTGGGCACGTGTGTGTGTGTTAACAGGTAGCTATTCAGCTAACGGTTAACAGAAAGACAGCAGATAGCAACACGTCAATAAGGTGCTCAAAGGATCAAGTGGCACCCACTCGTCACATGGATGGCCACGCTAAGGTGCTTCAAAAGAGTTTTAAAGTTTTGATTTCAAACGTTGAGAGCGTTCTGGTTTGCACATGGTAGTTCTGAGCCAGGCCAAGGGTTTTGAGATTTCTGACCTCTTCCTACTGAAAAGGGCTTTCACGGTAGTTGTTTTGTTCACTTGGATGTAATCACTTGAGTCTAAAACCTTTTGAATAGCCAAAACTTAAAATCATCATGACTAAAAGAAATAACTGATGAAATGGTATAGAACATTACTGCGTTCCCATTGGATCAAGATGGTTTCGCCCAGTTTTCCTCTATCGCTAACACTGTTCCTTTTTTTCTTTGTTACAATCCATTCCTTATGAACATACAGAAATGACCAAAGTCACTGCAAGCGGCTGTTTTTATTTTTTGTGATCTGTTGCAAGAGTCCAACCTTGTTTCCTCTGCTGCTGTTTGTGTAAAATGAGCATCTGATCAGCTATGTGCACGTGTGTGTATGCACACACATGCACACCTATACATGTATAATATATACACCATATATATGTGGACATATATAGGAAGTGTGTATACATTTGCACATAATATAGTGTATATTGTTTCAACTGGAGATAAGCTGAACTGGGTTCAGACACTAGCACATGTTTATCGTTCCCCAACTCCCTCTGTGTGTTTGAAACAGTCTGAAGCTTTTAGTAATTTTTAAAGTGCATTTTCAATGCAGAGTAACTGTAATCCACTGATTCCTTGGATAACATTTTTTGATGAGAAAAATCTGACGGCTTTCAGCCCCAGGCAAGAGAAACCTGGGTTTGGTCATGCCAAGGGCTGACGTGGCAGTGCCAGGCTTGTGCCTGAGTGATTACTGGGCATTCTGGACTCTGGGCACATCAGCAGCAGCAGCAGCAGCACCTTTATGAGAAGGCAGAGATAGTAAATGAAGAAGGAAGGGAAGTTCAGAGAAGGAAGAGTGTGTTTGGTGTGTGTGTGTGTGTGTGTGTGTGTGTGTGTGTGTGTGTGTGCATGCGTGCGTGCGTGGACCCGCATACGCACGGCTCATCTTGACTGTGATGGGCTGTGCAGTCCCTGTGCAGTTTCAGCTAAGAGATGCCATCTAGTTCCTTCCCCACCAACTGACTCCAATGTCTCAGGTCCCCCACATGCTCAAGGATCACCTCGAGGTCCTTACTCCTGGGGCCAACCTCAGCGTTTGTTCTGTGGGTATGTGAGTGCCAGCATCGAGTAGGGATAAGGCACCAGGGAAATCAAATGTTGTGAAAAAAGGACCACCCCACTTCAGAGAGCCTCTCGACTTGTTCCCTTCGAACACTGCATGTGAAATACCCTTCATTCACTTGTACACCTTTACGTCAAACACGTTTTCTGAAAGGAACTCAAGGCCCTTCAGCACCAGAGAGCTTTAGGAATGCACCCTTTGTCTAGACCTCCCCATGCCCACCCCACCCCCACCCCACAAGCAAAAGCACCAAGTTAGGAGAACAAGGCAACGTGCCTCACTCACCTCATTTTGATAAATAATAGTAAAAAAAAAGTCTATGAAATCGAGATTTCAGAAACTGCTCTAAAATCAAGTGGATTAGGTTGTCAGGATCTGATGACTTGATGCTCTAAGTGTGCACAGTGCAACGTGAAGGGGTTGAGATGGTCGGCTTTAATGTTTAGTGGGAAATACGTTTTTAAAAAAAAAACTCTTCTAAATGACGCCTAAAATCTTCCAGAAACACTTTAACCTCCCCTCTTCTCCTAAAAACAAAAGAAAACAAAACCCAACACATTGTAAAAAGGAAGAGGTTCATTTAACTATAAAAGGAAAAAAAAATGAAGGCACATGATTTTAATTCGGTCCCACAATCCTTAAGAAAAATAGATTTTTTTTTGCTTGTGTGTGTCTGTGTGTTTGTGAGTGTGCGTGTGCATGTGTTTTCACACGTGAAGTATGAATCCCATTGGACAGTTACCAAGGGAAGCTAGGAAAGGAAAGGAGAGATTTTGAGACAGAGAGAAGAAAGGAGGAGGAAAGGGAAGCCTCTCTTCAGCTTCTTGTCACTGACAGTCGCAAGACTTTGCTGCTTTAGGGTCCAGAAAAGAATGTATTTGTCTTGGTCTGGAAAGTGCCCCAGTTATAAATATCTCCAGTTAATCATGTTACAGCTTTTGGTGGTTCCCTTTTCCCTTCCCTCCAGCCAAATGATTTCTTTAAAAAATATCACAGTTTTTAAAAATTATTTTTTCAATGTTGAAAAAATATGGAAAAGCTATTGAACAGCTTCAGGGCACGCTGCCTCTCCATCTTCACAGTGAGCAGATGGATGGACAATCCACAGAGTCAGAGGAGGCGGGCGGGCGGGCGGCAAGAGCCCTGTGCTGAGTGGTCCCTTGCTTTACCTCCTGAGGGCCGGGGTCTTCACAGCACCCGCAGCCATGTTTTCCATTTGGATCCCGTCCCCTCCCATCAATGGAACGTGGGCTGCCGAGAAAGGCAGAGCCATGATAACTGGAAGGTCTTAGAAGCAGAAGGTGACAGGGGCCACCCCTCCAGGCACTGTTAGCTGTGTGTGCTCTTGGCAGCCTGGCCTCGGATGGAGAGGCTCGGCTGCCCTGGGGAGGCTCAAGTCTCCCTTCACTTCTGGAGACCTCACCACCTTCACGCCTCTCTCTGCAGAGCTGGCCCCAGGTTCCTAAGAAGGCAATGATCCAAGATAGAGAGGCAGAGCCCACCGGCTGTGGTATACAAAAAAGGGGCTATGGACAGTGGGATTTCAGAAACAAATTTAACTTTGGTTTTCCAACTTTTTCAGACCATAAAAATTAAAGCAGGGCTTCGGAGGCTTCTGTCATCTGAGAGCTGTTACGTTTTCTCATTTGGCAAGGCTAAGGCAGGGGGGGAGAGAAAAGGGGTTTCCCATAATTGGTTGAAGACACAGGGTGGTAAAAATGCTTCCACACTTAAACTCACAGTCCAGTGTTTTTGACATTTCATAAATAGCTTTTTCTCTAAAAAAAGAATAAAACAAGAACAATCCCTTTACTTACTCATCTGAAACAAAATAAACAGCAGTGGTTACAAACTTCTTCTTGTAACAATTACAAAAAACAACAATAGAATCCCAACTTTTAACACGCATCTTGAATCAGTTATTATTTTTTAACCTCAAAACTGCAGCATATCCTTAAGGGCAAACTTTTCGATTAGTTTTTTTCTTTTTTTCTTTTTTTAAATAATGTCTTCACCAAAAAAACAGTCTTGTACCAATAAAATGCATTCAAAAATAGAAAATATTACACAACAAAAATATGTATCCTTCCTTTCCAAAAAAGATTCTTCACAAAAAAATGTAGAAAAAATTCCAACAATTTTTTCCCTCTCCTAAACATTAACTTTCAGTCTAGGGCACAATTATTTATTGATTTAAATGTCTGTTTTTGCATAAGATATGGAAGATGCAAAACTTTACTGTATTAGGATTGTGAAGTTACATCTACTCCCACCCCATTCTAAAACAGAACAAAACCAGAAAAACCCAGCAACTATTGAAGCAAATAATGAGCCGGTTGGCTGAGAGAAGTAACCTGTGTCTGAGCTCTCACTGTGCGCTCGTGTGCAGCAGCTGGCCTTGTACTGGGGGTGCTGGAGAAGGGAACAGGCTGGATTCAAGTGTTTTGTTAGCACACACCAATTTCAGTGACTAAGTCTTCTATGTCACTGGTGAGCCTCAGAGAAGCGTGTGAATTAGCATGAGGACTGTCAGAGTGCTGACATGTGTACATGCTCGCACTGGATATTACAAACCCTTCTCAAAAGAGCGTGCGTGCGTGCGTGCGTGTGTGCGTGCGTGCGTGCGTGTGTGTGTGTGTGTGTGTGTGTGTGTAGCTGAGACATGGGGTAAAAAGTAACCCAGAGCTCCAATGTATAAGAAAAGTTGGAGTTACTCTCTCTTTAATCTCTTCCACATTTAACTTGGTTGGTTTTTATTGGAATAATGACAAGATCTCTCCTCAGAAAGGAATGGCCTCTTTTCTCCACACACTTTAAACTCAGGTTCCTCTTACAGTTTTCTGCACTGTAGCTTACACTTGTTTTTCTTACTTGACAGTATTTATCTCAAATGTTAGATATAGCTTATACGTATATTCCATATGAACAGATTGTTTTCCATAGCTTTTGTCTGTTTGTGCCACTTATTTGCTTGCTGGTTTTTTCTTTGGGGTTTTGTTTTGTTTCTGATTTTTAAACAGTGAAATGTGTCCAATTTTATTTCCAGTGCATTTAACAAAATTTAAATTAAAAGAAGAAATAAAACTTTCCCCCTCATTCTAAAGGAAATGACTGATAAAAGTATAATAAAATCAGGCATTACCAGAAAAAAAAAGCATCATGTGCAACCTCAATTACATCAGAGAAAACAGACAAACAAGATTTGTAGAACATAAGCATGAAGAAGCCAAGATAATATAATCCCAACTATGGTGTGACTGGCAAGCACTGGTTAAAAATAGGTAAGGCTACTCTTAGATTTCTAACGACACAGCCAACCACTGCTCTTCATCTTTTCTCTTCATCCTTACTCACTAGAGTCTTTATATGTTTAAAATGAGCAAATCTGTTTTTATATTTTTGGTCTACAGTAGAATTACATATCAACAATATAATAAAAAGATATTTAAGTAACAGGTTGGTACTGCATCCATGTGGGGAAATAGAAAAAGAGCACTCAACTAGACATAGCAAATGGACTCTATCTTTATAAAAATAACAATAAATGTAATAGAAATAATATTCAGGGTAACATTAAATTGGAAACAAGTGTAGAAAGTTCTATTTTGGATAATACAGACTTCTGACAAGCTATACCCTAGAATTGCAGCCTCCAAATCTTTCCCATGATTCTACCTTTCCACTCTCACTCAAGATTCAAATGGAAATGGAAACGAAATGAAAATAAAGTTGACAGATGTTTGAGCCAGCCAAAACTACCAAGTTATCAGAACTGATAATTAAGATCAGATACTACTTGGGAAACTGTCCAACCATAAGGGAGTTGTTAATAGTATTTGCTTGGTTTTAATTTTGGAAGAATTACCATCCTAGTGATTAAGAGAGAAACCAAGGAATCAAAGAGTTCTTCTGGTGACATATTGGAGATGAAGTTTAATTCTGGTGGAGAGGACATGGTGATGAGGTGGGAAAGAGGAGAGGGAAGGAACAGGGGAACTTCGGGCACTACCTTCATCAGATGCCGAAACACAGTGGCTTCATTTTGTTTCCAGCATCCTTTTGGATGAGCTACAGACCATAATGTGTTCTGGGTAAATATGTGTCAGCTCATTTATTGACATGAACTCCAGACGTACTGGCTTCCATACAAGCTGGGTGGGTCCAGTTCATCTCTCCTCCCATCACTCACTGCTGCCCACCCTTGATAAGGCAGAGAAGGTGAGCAAAACTCCAGGGGCAGAGGCTCTTGACTAGCTATCCCTAGTCAATGTCCGACTGGTGAACTTATGGTTCAGTGTTGTGGGGGGAGAACAAAGAAAAAGAATTGTTAAGAGCTGGATTTGGTAATAACAAACGTGAAATTTCCTTTAAGAGGAAGATGAAAAAGAGAAGGAAGGGAGGAAGAGAGGAAGGAAGGGAAGGAGGAAAGATGTAGTAGTGAAGGAGGGATATGTTATAAGAAACATTGCTTTGGGTTTCTTTTAACTTTGAGTTGTCATTTTTTCTCTCTCTCATTCTCTCATTAAAGGAGAGCTTAGAATCTAGTGCAAACATCTTCAAATCACAGCATTCCAGGGGCAATATCCTATCCCTTCATCCCTCAGACCTCCTCAGAAGATAGGGGCAATGGTCCAGACAAGCATAACTGAATACATCACTTGCTACAACAAGAAAGGCACTATCACCACAGATCTGCTTCCACATATTTCCCTTGCTATGGCATGAGCATTTCAACCACTTCAGCAATCACCAAAGACCTACCACACTGTGGCTCCTCAGGACTTGAGTCCCCTGGCCTGTTGTCTACATTTCCACATGCCACTATCATTGACCCTGGCTGGCTCTTGTTTCTTATTGTCCAATGACCCTCTCGCCAATGATGCTTGCTTGGTTCTAAATGATTTAACTCACTTTCTTCCATGGAAGTTTCTTTCTCTCCACAAGTCTCCAGGTTACAACTGTATTTCGCAGTTTACAGTGTCAAGTAGTACTGTGTATTTTTTTTAACCTTCTAACTAACTCCCAAATCATAGAGTGTTTAGTAGCCCTCTACGCTCATGATCTGTGATTACTACTGTGAACAGAAGGAGGGTTTCCTCTGTCAGTCACTGAAAGCATCCGCAGGCCTGTCATGGTACTTTTGCCTGGGAGAGAGGAGGCTATGATCTGGAGAAGAAAATCTTTGGTGACAGAACTGGACTGGATATCCAAGTTTCAAGAAAAACTTGTCCCCCAAAGCCTCAAGAAAGGTATCCAAGAATAGTCAATGTGAGGGTATTTTAAAAGGCCAGTTATTTCTTCTCATAGCTTTGGTTGGGAGTCTCCATGACCTCTTTGTGCTTTCCCAGGATGCATTCTAAGCATCTGCTAAGATCTCTTATTTAGAATTCCTATCTGAAATACAGATAATGCTTTGAGTGCCTCAGGGGCTCTTTAAGGTGGTTCTGGATGGTTTATATGTGGGGTTCACCCAGCAAGGCTGACACTTTTGTATGTTTAAGAAGAAACATTTAACTTGGAAAGGTAGACTGAGACAGATAATAGGGAGGAAGGAGAAAGTGATGCAACCATGAGTTTTCCAAACTGATGCCCTCACATAGGACAGTGTTCACAGAAATTCAACACTAGCGCAACATGGGTTGTGATTCTTAGTGAACAAGATTGTTCAAAAGCTGTCATCCGGGATTCTGGAGGAGTCCCTCAGAATCCTCACACTTGTTTCATTCCCCACACAGTCTATTGCTTTTCCTGTGGTACAAGACCCTCTTGTTAATAGTTACTAAAGAGCTGTCAAACTCTGAGCTTCTGAGATTTAAAAAGGCAATAATAATCAATTGAAAAGTTAGGGGGGAAATGCACCAACTGTCAACTTTTAGGCACTATCAAGGTCTCTGCTTAAGGATAGTCAAGGATGGAGCAGCTCGAGCAGCTCGTGGACTGGGACGACACCTCTGACCCTTCTTCCAGTTTTCTAGTTGGCCTACCTTGTTTCAGAATAAGCCTTTCACCTCACTGTTTGGCAATGTTTATTGCACTGATCCCTTGCTGTCACTTACAATGTCACCACGTGCATGGCCTTCCTCTTTGGTTACCCAGATCTAGGTCTTGCCATGGATAGAAAGGGTATCTGAACATGGACACCATGACCTTCAGGAACACCGAGGTGTGCCATAGTGAGAGGTTTCATGTTGTCTTGTGAGCCAAGATGAAGGCTTCATGTCAGCTCAGGCAGCTTTCTTGCTATCGTGGCTCTTATTGTAAGCTTATTTGGAAACGAGATTGGATACATTTCTTCTGAAATAGTCTCTATTTGTTGTACTAACCCACTTCTATACAATAAGAAAACAGGTTTTTGTCAGCATAGCAGTTTCTAGACTTGATTAAGAGTTGGCAAAAATTCCACAGATTCTCACTGGCTCTGCTAAGACCATAATGGAAATAACCTCCATCTCTGTGATGTCCCTAGTCTCCCAGCTTGCCTCTTTCTTCCCTTCCCTAACACACTCTCCTGGCATGAATAAATACATCTCAGTAGTGCAACACAGTGCAGTCACGCTTAGTGCAAAAGAGAGGGAGAGAGAGAGAGAGAGAGAGAGAGAGAGAGAGAGAGAGAGAGAGGAGAGAAAAAAATCCCATAAACTAAAAATCTACTAAAAATGATTACAGATTCAAAGCCCAACCATAAGCAGCTCTTACTAAAGGTTACCAGTGCTACAAAAGTGGGAAACACAGTCTTTGCCTCATACTTGTGTGACTCATCTCTTTTGTGGTTCCTGTTTGTTTCAGCTCAAAGGAGAGAAACAACCAGCTTGTACCTCTGTATTCTTCTAGAAAGCATTAAGCCGGTAGGCAGAAAAGAAAGGCATACAGTTGAGTTGCAATCAAGGGGATTAGTTGGAGGAGGAAAATGGCTCCTCAATGAAAAGGTCAGTAGTGCTTTTACTTAATGGGTTTCTCATGTCAGGTGACTGATACTAAGGAGATGAGTACAGAAAGAAGAGCGAGAGCCTTTCTGTTTCCTAAAACTCAGTCCTAAATTTAACAGTGCAGGGCTCTTTTTGAGTAGCAGAAGCAGCTATTCATCAAGGTCTACAAGCAGCAGCCACCTTACATAGTATCAAGAGGCCTGCTTTCGGCATCGATTACTTTTCACTCATGCCACTCCTGGTTTTGTTTTTGTCTGGCTACACAGAGGTATAGACATACGTCCACATACACAGAAATTTGCAAGGCCTCTCTCAAAATGATGGATTGTAAATTGGTACAAATGACTCAGTGACACTTATGCAAAAAGTAGAACTATTAAATACAAAGTGAATTATTATACTAAAATGCAGGTTCTGCATTGTAACTCTTTTTGGATTATTCCGTTTAAAAACGAAAACCTTTGCAGTGGGATTCTTATGGAGCTTATGTCTTACTGAAAGTTGACAAAGAGTCAGTTTGGGATTCACCATGTGGGTGAATCTGGAGAAGCACTTGGTATGTGGTAACCCTCAAGAATCTCTCGTCAGTGTATCTGAAACCTCCCTCTGCACATGTGAATCGGCCTAACTGCTCACACCCACACACACATGCTGGCATTTGAGGAGAATCAATGTGTAGTGTCAGATAGAGAGAAACAAGGACGTTTGGCACTGTGGGGCTTTTAAAAACAAAGCAACTGTAGACCAACTGTGATGGGCTTCTTACCTTTGTTTGCTATGAAGGATGTGGATTACTAAGAGACTCCCTGTTCACCTGACAATCACAATTCTTTAACAATGGTGCAAAATGGATCTTAATTAGATATGCCTAAGCAAATTATCCTTAATGTATACTTTAGTAGGCTTCTATAGAAACTTGAAGTCTAAATCGACAGGAGTAAGGATGAAATTTTACTGCTCAAGCATCCTGGGGCATTTTCTCCTTTGACTCTACTGCTGATTCCAAGCCAAGATCTGTCCCATGAAGAGCCAAGGGTAGAACAGCGAGCTTTGTTTTTAAAGATCCCCTAGCTGTGAGCTAAAGCACTTCAGACTATTGCAAAACCTCATTGAAGCACTAGTCCACTTTTGGTTATCTGTATGCACACATCACATGTCCCCTGGAGAGCAGATTAGGTGCAGAGCAGTCAAGGATTTCTATACATGCTTTTGACAGTCTTGACAGCATGAAGAGAAGTCACGAATCACTAAAGAGTACAGTTGTACTAATTCTCAGAACCATCAAAAAGAGAGATGGGAAGGAACGACAGGGCCAGGGTGAGGTCATTCTTTGTTAACCCTGAAAACAGGTTTCAAGAATGTAGAATTGTACCAGTTTAGTTCCACTGAGTTACCCTGCCCTCCCCCTGCTTTCCTTCTGTTCACTTAATTGAAATTGCATTTATTTCCCAAGTTTGAGCCAAGAATGTAAATTACAGCACAAAAGCCAGGTTATAAAAGGTTGTCCAGCGATTTGTAAGTTAAGCTGAGTTGCACAGAGTATTCTTCAGATGAGTAGTACTAAGACCCCCTCCCCATTTTTAATTTGGTGTTTTTCTCTTTTGTGATGTTGGATGTGGACAAGAAAAGCATTGGCAGCTTGGAGATTTCCTGCTTATGTCCATCTCAGTGCCAGGGAGGAGTTAGGAGTAAAGCGGAAGTAGATGTTTCCATATTTAAGACCTTATGAATATAGACAGCTTAAAATGAACAGGACTGAAATCCCTACCATTGTGAAAATGGACAGATTAGATGATATTTTATTAATGCTCATTATTTTTCCTTTCTAGGAATTCTGTACTAGATACTCATAAGAAACCTCCCAATAAGAGAAAATAAATTTATCCCCAGATGTATTCCAAAAAGGATTTGAGGAAGCAATGACCATCTGTAGTACAAGAATGACTTTCAACAGCAGTCAGCTCCATTCTTTGGCCCCAGACCTGTTCATTTAAATAAGAGAGTTTCTTCTTCAAGGAATAGTTTTTTGTTTTAACTATTCCATCCCCAAAGTGCAGAAAGAATCTCTTCTCAAAGCTCTAAGTGACAGCAGAAAAGGAACATACGACTTTCATGAGAAAGGACTTCTCGGCGGAAGATTGAAGGCTTTCCTAAGAGGCAAATGACTACTGTGGGGTCGGGGGCAGGCACCTGATGTGCAGGGACAGGGTCAACTCAGAGAATCCAAACATTTCCCTAGCTTGAGAAGAAAGACATAAAGAAAAACAAATCGACAAACAAACTCTACTAAAATACACATTCCTCCAGTTTCAAATTTCTACAAAGTAATAATTACGCTTAAATCAAGGTTTACAGATAGCAGACAACTGTTTTAATGTGTAAAAGTATTGTCCCTTTGCTTTACCACGTTTCACTTTCTTTGAAGGAATTGCATCCATGCACACTTGTCCTAACGTCCAGTGCAGAAAATAAACTTGTTTGCTACCAGCTTCAATTCCAGAACATTTCCTAATCTACATTCACAAAACTAAAACTACTTAACTGTAAAATGAGATGCAGGTTTTCTGAAATGTGTTGGGGGGGTATGCAGGCTTTTTAAAAATGGGTAAAAGAAGAAAAAAATCACTTGCTAATCTCTCAAATATACACTATAGCGTTTCTGACCATTCTTTTGCTGCATTAGTTACTGCCGGGGCTGTTGGTGCTCTTGACAGGTGCCAGCTTGTAAAAACAGGAGGCTCCTAAGCAATAAGAATTCACACCCTGGAGCCTCTAGAATATTAAAAAGGATTTAGACATTCATCTGTGACAAACTTAAGAGGTTCTGGTGAGAAATCCTGGGTCTTAGGGTTGGATCTCTTGGAGAGCTTGAAGGAACAACGGTAACAAGGCAGCCTAGATCAACTGGACCAAATGAGATCTTTCCGATCCAGATTCTCCCACTCCACACTGCACTTGAGATGACAGTATCTGGTGATCTGAAAGAGACTTCTGTGCCTTCAGAAAGCAGTGCCAGAGGACAAGTGCTCTTTAGATGCAGAATACCCTCAAAAGAGATGGCAGGAGTTCCAAAGGGCAAAAGGAAGAGATGAAGGGAAGACTAGGTTGGAGGACATGCTAAGCAAAGATCACAGTCTTCAGCAATGTAAACATTGGCCTTAAGTCATGGTGGCTTCCTGAGAGATGCCAGCCTCAGGAAGACTTCTGAACTCGCCGTTTATCTCATTGCTCTCTGTGTGCAAACTGATGCTTATTATGATGATAAATTGTTTTAAGACAAAGGCTGGACCAAGCCTCAAGCTGAGTGACAGTACATTTTTCATAGTAAGTGTAGATTTTGAGTGTCAAGGTAGAGCAAGAAATGAGTGCCTAGCTACTCCAAACTGTCTCAGACTCCATCTTCGAATGAGCAGAGGGACAATGTGGTATCACAGTGAGTCAGGGCATTGTGCTAAAGGGTCACTGTGGAATGACATTACACGTATCCCCAAAGGGCTACACCCACAATGACTTCAGTCTTCTTCATCAGTGTTCTGGAGAACAGAAAGCTGTGATTGGAATGAGCTCTAGAATGATGGCCAAATAACATACCATGTATTTATAAACCGAGTCCTCAAATCAAATCTAATACAGGACCCAGTCAGCCTTATTCTTGTTTTTTTTTTTTTTTTTTTTGGTTTTTTTTTTTAACATATAGTATGTTTATGTCAAGGCAATTTTTGTTTATAAAACAGGCATTTGATAAACTTTATAGGTCCTTTTATTCCTTAATAAATTACCCCTCAAAGTTTCAGACCAACCAATATTTGGCTTTTCAAAAATGTAATACATGAAGAAATTCTTTCAAACTTTTCTTACATTGTTTTCAATGGAAGTGGCTTTTGACATGAATAGCTACCAAAGTTACTTTGAAATTTTACCTCTTTCTTCAGACTCTTTTAAATCTAGTATCTGGCAAACATGTCACTGGCTAAATATTAGCACAATCAGAAATAATCAACATGGTTTTTTTTTCCCTCCCTCAGAAATGGTCTACTCATATCAAGAATCTGAAAATTGTGATATTAAAAAAAACCAGAAAATACTTATCTTTGGTTTAATGTAAAGGTGAGAGGAATTAATGATCTCAACTAGTACAGTTGACATTTAAAACTGTGACTCAGGTCCTCCTACTCTCAAAAGATACTGACAACCTTTAAAATCTGAAGCTGAAATGAAGACATGTTTCATTCTGCCTACGGGTCTCAAGTTTATGAACTCATTTAAAGAAAGATGCTAAGAAGGGTGGAAAGAAAATCATGAACAGTTGGGGGTCATAATATAAAATTGGGGGGGGGAGTACTGAAGAGATGATTGGGTAGCTCAAAGTTACCTTTAAAAAGAAACAAGAAGAAATGAGAATGTGGCAAGGAAAGGAAATCAAAAATAATGGAGTTGGAACACTTTACCTCATACCTGATCACTGAAGGGACAGCCTCACTGTCCCTCAGTTCAGAATCATGCTCTTCAGCTGGCATGTCTCTCATTGAAAGCAGAGGAGACACAAGCAGTTTCCTACTCGGTTCTAGTTTAGCACCATCAAAGGAGACTAAAGGAGAGCTCCCTAATGAATGCCAGGCGTCACAAATGGAAGATGCTAAGGGGGGTGTGGGTGGGATGGGGGCAGAGACACACTGGATAGGCACAGCAGAATGTGATGAGACGTCAAGACAATAATTGATGATGGAAGATCGAAGGAGGAAGTGGCATATTCACACCGAGAAGCCTAAATATTGGTCCACCACGGGGAGGTTTTCTACTTCATTTTGTCCTGAATACAGAGTGTGAAGGATGAGCTGGGATTCGGCTGACTTGATTCTGATGTCCAGACTTTTGGTGGAATAGCTGGGGGCAGCTAAGAAAGCTCCTAATTGAAAAGATGACCTGGAAGTGCTTCTGTTAGAAGACAGGTTATCTGATTTCTGAATGCCCCCTTAGAAGAAAGCAAGCAGACATGCTGAGGACCAGGGAACAAGAGCCACCGAGGCTGGAAAATGTCATATATGTCTTTGAGTTCTGTCAATAAAAAGTGTCCAGAAATGTGGTTTTAGTTTAAAAATAAATCTCCTGGGGAAATGAACAGTGTATTGCCAAGATGCCTCCAGGGAAATGCTGAGGACTAATGAAAATAATGGCTGGCACGCCAAAAAGAGAGAGAGCGGACAGTGAAGGATCAATACTGAACAGCAGTGTTTGGAGATACAGTTGGGACAGCGAGGCAGTTCTCTGTCTTTGCTTCTCACCAAAGCAGCCCTTTGAAATGCAGCTTAGGATAGTTGGTCAGGTCATGTGACAGACAAGCAGCTTCTTGGTCTTACTTATTAAAGCAAGTAAAGCAAGTCTTACTTATTAAAGTAAGTCCTAAAGGGGAAGGTCACAGATACGTTCATATGTACTTCCTTTGTTCTTCAGATGTTGACAGGGTCAGCTAAACAAGATCACATGGAATATGAACTTTTTTGTATTAGCCACAGCAAGATAATTTTTTAAAGTTTAAACAGTTTTCACTTTCCTACATGTGCTAAGTCTGAGCTTAAAAAAAAAAATCCTAAAATCTTCTAAAGACAATACTGAAGCTGATAATATAAAAAGCAAACTAGAACCGTAATGGTCATTAAATGCACCAGATTAACTGCAGTGGGTGGTGATGGGTGATATATGTGAAGAAATAATATTTCAATCAACTCATGATCATTGGCAGATTCAAAGTTAAAAAGAATATAATGTAATATATTTCAATATAGAGTTGTTATATATAATGTGTATGTTCTAGGTCTCAGAAACACTGCAATGTAGTGTATTGTACTTAAGTAAGCATACCTAAATAGTAACCATAGTCTTTCACAAAGTCACTAGTACTGTTAATTAAAACAATAAAAACAAAAACAAGAAATGAACTTTTTTTTTCCAGTAAAAAGAAATACCTGTGGTTATGGTCACAGACTTCTTTTGAATACAGAAAGACAATACACATTTGAAAAATAACAAACAAACAAAAAATAATTGCCTTACTGCATGGGGAAGGGGAAATGTCACTAAAACATAAGAGGAAAGGTCCTCTGAATTCTGTAAAGCAGAAATAATCTACATATCACAAAAGAAGGGAAGGAAAGAAACCATCTAGTAAAAGAAGGACATGGGAGTGAGAAAACTAAAGCCAACTGTTTCCAGCTCATCAAGCCATCGAGAGTTACCTATGAGAGCTAAGTCCAGTCATTCAGTATATTATCCTAGGGTAGCATCCTACTTTAATGTCTGACATAGGCAAGAGCCGTTGAGTCTTACAGATTCCTCTCAGGCTATCCCTCTGATAGTCTATTGGTTTGCTAGACATGGTAAACAACGCATCCTGGAAAGACTCGGGTAAAGGCCACACTGGTTTCAGGAGATGCAGCCTGTGAGGGACAGTGGTGTCCTGCAGGTAGGTGCAGGCAGCATCAGAGAGTTTCAGTTTGGGAGCAGGACTCCCCTGTAGTTCCTGTGTGTGAGTGTGTGCACATGCTGTGAGCTGGGACTTCATGCCTGGGGCTAGACTTTGTTATCTGCAGATCATGCTCCTTCTCTAAAGCCTCCAAGGTTCCAGGGAGGCCAGGAATGGCCTTTGAGCTCAGGCTTAATCCTGGGATGCTTGGGCGCTACCTGCCTGGATGGGTGCCTCTCCTCTGGGAGTCCTGGAAGGTGCCTTGGATGGCTCCCTCTGGTCTGCTCCCTGGTTGAATATGTGTACTCAACCCTCTTCTGGAGAGAAACAGCCTGTCCCTGTGGGTTTGCTGTGGAGCCAACAAGCTGCCTTTGTTTCTCCCAACTCTGAAAAGCTACAAAAAGCAACAGAGTGGGCAGGTGACTGCTTCCTGGGAAGAGAGCCATGAGTCTGAGCACAATGGTAGAAGAGGCAACTGTATCTATGCACCAGGAACTCTGCCTGGGTGTGATTCGTTTGAGAGATGCACACACACCCAGACAACAGAAATACACACAAACATACAAATGTGCGTAGTCGTGTGCATGCGCACACACACATACACACACATTCTACCAGTAAATCCACAGAAGTGTAGCATTTGTTCAAGTTTCTTCTCAAAAGGCTATACACAAACTACTGGTGGTTGGGCTACTTCCCAATGTTCTAAAGCCTCACCTCAGATACTGATGCACCCAACCAAGGTAATAGAGGAGAAAGCAGGTATATGCATGGCCTCAGGCCTTTGACTCTAGCTGTAAATTCCCAAGTCGATGCTGTTGTCACTGGAGAATATGAATGAAGTTTCGTGGTACCAGCACCTCACACCACGTGTGCACATGTATAAGGTGCGCCCATCTACAGACATTCTGGCCAGCAGCTGTGACAAACTGGATGGGTTAAGCCACTTTTGTTATTAGCATCTGTGTGCATATCACTGATGCTATGGGCTATAACAACTGTTGCAACCGCAGTAAAAACAGATGTCTCCTGTGGAGTCAAATCTTTTTTCTCTCTGCTGCAGGAGTATCAGAATCTCATGGAAGTACTCTGAACCAAGAAACCTCTCAATTCACAAGAGATCCAAGGAGAGATTGACTGTTTGCAGGCATTGCCGAGGCTGGGACTTCATGACTATGGCTAACTTTTGTCTATGATCTGCAGATTAAAGACTTGAAAGTTTTGATTCTGCATTTAAACAAAGACCCCCAAGATAAATGAAATGCACTCCAAAACTGAGATGGAACAAAGTGCAGACTGGAGAGATACGGATTATATAAAAAAGAAAGCTGTATGTTGAGACTGTTCTCCCCGTTAAGGAGACATTTAAAAACTCATCCAGGCACCTGTGATTATGTTTAACGGGACTAGCTCCTTAGCAACATGCTTATTTTATATTCAGCCTCGACCTACCAATGAAATAGAGTAGACAGGAAATAGCTGCTTCCTGAAAGCAGCCGGTTCCCCTACAAGTTTGGTGCCTCCCCAGGAAGTCACTGTTTCCATAGTCCTCAGTCATGAATAGAGCTTATTTTTGTGATTATGGAACCATTAAAAAGTAAGAAATGTCTCTATCTCCACAGCCTTTCATTTTCTGTATTTTTTTTTTGTCTGCTTTCCTCCAGGGTTTATAACTTAAGGCAATAAGTCTACAACCTAATGGTTTCTTGTGAAAATTCCTTAGCTGAGGTTACTTCAGTGGGGCAACAGCTGGGGTCTGAAGAAGCCACGGGAGAAGGGCAGCTGTCAGTCAGCCATGTGTTAAGACTCTGGTTTTAGTCCTGGGGTTTCTATTCCTCCTCCAGTGTGGTTCTGAAAAAGAACGTGTGCCCTGCAAGCCTTCATCTTCGCCTCTTCACCTCAGAGGGAATGGAAAGTCCCACAGGCATCCCTGGGACTTAGTAATGCACATTACTTCTGCTGCGGATTCAGGGGTCAAGCAGAAAAGCATCTTGAGAAACTTAGAGACCCCCTTGGGGTATTTGGCTTGGCCTGATCTTTGTGCTAGAAGTGATGCTTTGTGTTAGTAACTTTCACATGTGCTACTCTACAGGAACACAGTCTGCCTCTGGTGGAGGCTTAAGACTATTGGAAATGGTAACTGCACACAAAGCCCTTGGGAATACTTAAGGATTCACATGTCTAGGCTGGGGCTCTTCTGGGGCAGCCTAAGCACAGGCAGAGCTTGTTTTTGAAAGTTTGCCCCATGCCACCTAAGAGAACAGTCCTTTTTCCTTATGAAAACACAGAACGAAAGTGGGGGTTGCCAGGGTCCCAGTTGGGAAATTATGGCCAGCCCCAGAAAGCCAGCAGCTGGGTCAGCTCAAGCACTCTGTCCCCTCCCAGCAGACTGGGAGTCTGGAGCTGGGAGGCCCCTGGGTAGCTTTTTTTTTCTCCCTATCCAATTGGGGAGTCTATTGAAATTCTAGTGTCCCCTTTCTTTTGTCTGTTACCAACTCACATGGTTCTGTCTTTAGTGTCCTATTTTTCTTTTCTGTCTTTTTAAATTTTTTCTTTTTTTTTCCCCCTGGGGGACAAAATTGGCCATTTAAATAAAGTTCTTTTCTAGTGAGTAAAGAGGTTTCTCCGAGCCAGAAATCACTCAAAAGAAAGTCTGCGGACCCTACCCATGCAAAAGGCTGGAGGTTTCCCCAAGTACCTCTTGCCAAACTTCCTAGCTTTGTGATTGGACGTCTTCTGGTTTGGTATTGTCGGGTACTGAATACATTGTGCAATTCTTTTGTTTTCCTCCCCAGAGCTTCCACTACCCTGGACTTCAACTCATTACTAAATTCAAGAATTCTTTTTGGAGAGTTTCTGTTAGGAGTCAAGTCACAGCGGAAAAGGCACCCACCCTCTGTTCTCTTCCCCCACAGGGCATCTCCTGTCTGCTCCTGGGCTACACCTTTTTGTTTCCTTTGCTGCAGCTGCCACACTGGTCACAGCAGAGCCTGCCTGATGGGATCTGCTGTCGAATCATACACTCTGTATGGCCAGCCCTAACTAATCGAATGACTCCTTCTGCAACATCGGGGAAGGCTCAGAATGGGCCAATCTGCTACCTCCTGGCCAGGTTGATCTCACTTCATTATTCCTGGGGCAAAGGTGTTGGGAGTGTCTTAGAGGGCTGCAATAGGAAAGTAACCAGGAACTTCACTGCATTTTCCTGGGGACCCAGGTGTTATGAGGCACCACTTTCCTTTTAATGCCTGCGGTGACAGGAAACACTGCTTTGGGGCCTGAGCAGGACACAGGCTGATGTGTGAGATGGAACACATGCAGATCCCGACAGGAAGACTGACATGGAAACATGCTCGCACACCCAGAGGACACCTCTTGCTCCTTAAGTCTCAGATACACTCTCCCTGTTTGTGGGTTGCAGAGGGTTTTCTTGGCCCTTACATAGCATCAGGATATAAAATAAAGCTCTGATTTTTAGAGAAAGAAGGCAAACCCAAGTCTTTTTAAGGCCAGGAACTACTGTCACCTCCTGGATACAGGGAGCAAGGAATGGTACATCTGAGACACAAGCCAGGGCTACTTCCCACCCTCATTGCTGGCAAACAGAACTGGGATGGGAGAGCCTGCAAAATGGCTGTGAAGAGGGTAAGTTTACAATAATGAAAATACTTTGATATAGATTTTCATTCCAGATTCCGGGGGGAGGGGGGTTCTCAGTTTTGTTTTTAACTGTAGAACTGAACATTCATTAGTTATTATTGTCTTTTGGGGGGATATATTTTACAGTTAGGGGCTCTTTTTTGTACAAATGTTGGTACTTAATACAGGAAAAACTACCCACCATGCTGAGACACTACCAATGTTTTTAGAGCTAGGGAATTTTATTTTTCATAATTTCTATATAAATGTGTTAAGACAAACATTCCTCAGTCTTTGTATTTAACAAATTCCATTTAAAAATCATATTGTTAAAAAAAATTATACTAGTGTTCTTTTGCATACCAGCTCTTATTCCTCAAACTTCTCTTAAGGTCTTCTGTCTGGAACATCTGCTTCTCTCTTTCTTTCTCTTTCTCTCTCTCTACTACTAAAAAGACCTTTTTTCCTTCTCTAGTTTTACAAGCATCCCATCATAAAAACTGTAGGGCTGGGAACCAGACACTGAGAAGCCTCTTTCTCGCCCCTCCCTTATTCGTGACCCTGACAGCAGGTGTGCACAGCAATCAAGCACCTGTATCCTTTGAATAGGTGCAGATGGGTTTGTCTCCTAAAACATGGGTCAGTTGGAAAGTAGCCCTTCGGTGGCTAGATATATGTCACTACCCCTATAGAAGCATCTTTGCTTGGGAGCTCCAATGGCAATCGAGTGTCCTCCCAGTTCTAGAGAACAATGTCAAATACTTTAGGCCGTGAGATGTTTGGGAGAGAAAAAAATACAGGAGGAATGAGCCTAGACAGTAGTAGTACCCAGAATTCTTTAGGGACATCCCCACCCTTTCTTAAAGGAGATATTCCTTTTTGTAAGAAAAGGATGTGTACAGGGTTTCCAGACACCTCTTCTTTTCCTTACATGCTCTACAAGGTTGGATTTTTAACCCAGTTGCTTAGCTTCTGACAATAGGGCAAATGGGTCTCTGTCAGATTTAAGAAGTAGATGGGGAAGTATAGCCTGATGGTATTCAAGGTAAGTTTTCCTAGAAACAATATGAACTCTGCCCAATTTGCTAAGGTTTGAATAGAGACACTATTTTAAATGTACCCCTGACAACAGTGAAAATAACTAAAACTAGGTTTTGACCTTCTTTCACTGGTTTTATATGAGTGATTTCATGTCTTTTTCCCTCCAGATTAAAAAAAATTATCACAATGTCAGTCATTTTTTTTTCTAATAGGTTAAATGACTCATTTTTCAAAATATGAAAATGATTCTGTGATGTAGTTACTTAATGCTCCCTCTGTTGGTGCTAAGGAAACTTGAAGTCCTCACTGACCCTTTCAACAGCAAAAGCAGCAGGCGGGAGGGCTGGGGAGGGCTGGGGAGGGCTGGGGAGGGCTGGGGAGGGCTGGGGAGGGCTGGGGAGGGCCGGGGAGGGCTTCTGCATTTCTGAAGCTCATTTTTAAAACAGGGCACACAAGTTCTTGGTTGTCCTCTCAGAAATCATGGTGAGTGATTCTCAGCAGTCAGCTAACCATCCAAATCCACACTACAACTTCTAGCAAAATAGCCACTGAATGAATGAAGCACCGTAAGACGGACTCAAACTCCACAAAACACTCCAGTTGCACAAACTACTAAACATCACAAAGAACACATGGAAAAGATCCAACTTAACCAATTGTCTAAAATATATGAATAAAACCAATTTAACCATTATAGAGTTGCTTGCCTTGGAAGATTTTCCCTCATTTGCTGCATTTTTTTTTTTTGTAAATAAAATGCTAACAGGAAAATTAGGAGGAAAATTAAATTAAAATGTAGAGTAATTTAGAAACGAAAATATCCCCTCTTTTCTTCTTTTTAAAAGCGTAGTTTGGTGTTTCTGCATTATTGGAATATTTATTTTTCGTTTTAAGTATGCTAAAACATGCCCCATCATGAAATTACTTTGTGAGTGTTAGCTAGATTTTGAAAGTCCTATTTTTGAGCTGGAATCCCTTCAGGACACAGTGTATAACTGGAAAATCTTAGGATTTCTTGATCAAGACCACAGAGAGGAATCTCAACTAGAAAGAGTGGCATCTGGGATGAGGCCAGAGATCCAGGGCCTTCTGGAAGCTGGATGTTAGCATAGGGAAATTGTTAACACCCAAAAGCAAGGGTTAAGAATCAACTAAAGAATGATCATCCTACTTCACCCTCTTAGCCATGGTGGGAAGAGTCCAAGGCGATGATCGAAAGGAAGAAGGGAGTTTTGGCATTGACGCATTGTTGTTTGTAACAGGCTTCTCATAGTGGCGTTTACACAGTGGGAGGGTAGTTTTGTGGAGTCCTCCTGGCTGACCATGAACGAAACAAACCCCTTTGTCAAGATCTCTAGACTACTAGTGTTTCATCAAAGAAAAAAAAAAAAGCAAGCTCACTGGAAACTCTAGAATCCTAAGAGCTCACTGAAAATTTTGGGAAAGTAAGAAATCTGCTAAAAGATCATGTCCCTCCCATGAAAAAGGACAGCATTCTAGATGGATCGATGAAAAAATATTCAGTGGAACAACTTAAGCTTGCTAGAAGTCAAAGGTCTACACAGCAAAACAGAGCAGCAGTTGAAATTACAGCAGGGGTGTGCCGGCCTCTGGGGCCCTCAGCAACCCAGGCAATACTTAAAATAATAAAAAATTAAGAAAAAATATGAAGAAAATATCCTTCCTCTCTTTCAAATATAACTTTAGTTGCCTTTTACTCTTTCTATCTGGAAGCAGTATCGCTAACCTTAACAGTCTTGACTTACCAAAAAATATATATATATATGTGTGTGTGATAGACAGAGTAAATGAGAAGGGATTGGTGGCAGTGTACGCAGAACCAAAAGGAGAAAAAAATTACTTTTAACAATCTCACTTTTTTGTTTTTTTTTTTACACAAATACTGTTGTAAATATATTAAAAAAATCAGCATTCTATCTGGTAAACATCACTTTTGCCCCTCTATAAAATTTTGAATTAAAAAAGCCTCAAGAACTTTAATCGTTCCCCCCACCCTCCATTTCTCTTTCTTTTTCTCTTCCACAAGAATATATCCTGACACTTTTTTTTTTTTTTTTGCAAAGGTTGTTGGAAATAATCCTTCTCTTGTACCTAGAAACATAGGTGCGAATCTGTTATCGTTTTCTCTGCATTCCTGCCTTTCATGAAAGTCCCTCTTGATTGTGCTGAGACCGTGGCTCAGCAAAGACACTGAATAAATACGATAGCCACTGTTGCTTGTCCAAGTCTTCTGGCTTCTGCTGAAAGGGTGGGGGAGGGAGGTGGAGGAGGTGGGCCAGGGTGTGTGGGGCCGGCAGAATTGGGGGAGAAGCCTGCCACGCCACTTTCTCTCCACACCACTGGGGCTCACTGCCCCCTCCCATCCCACAGCCCTTTAATAATGTGTAGGTGGAAACAGCAGGGCCTTTCCTCTGGGTTCTCAACCAGAAGTGATATTCCACAGTTTGAACTGGTTACTGTGAAGTCCACGTGGCCAGAATTGTGAAATGTCCACTGAAACACTGTGAGCGGTGTACTTAAAAGACAGCAGGCCTTTTATATCTCCTTATAGATTTTGTAGTGCTCTTCACGAGTGGAAAAACAATTTTTCTTTTTTTTTAAACTTTTTTAAAACTTTTTTAAAAGATTTTTTTGTTTTGTTTTTGTTTTTTTGTATGTATGGTTTTTTGCTTTTTTTGTTTTTGTTTTGTTTTTTTGTTTTGTTTTGTTTTTTGTAAAGAAGGGTTGTATTTAGAGGCCAGTAGCTAGAGATCCAACCAGTGGACCTCTTGAAGCACTACCAGGCCTTAAGGCCACCATCCAAGGGAGACTGGGAAAAGTATTATTCACCCGAGCCTCCAGAAATGTAATGTACCAGCAGGCAAAATACAGTTCTTCATGTAGTACAAAATGAAACGGAACAAAAACAAAAACAGAAAGTAAAAAGGAAACCAAAACATTTCTTAAATTCTAGTGCCATAGCTTTTTGTTTGTTTGTTTGTTTATTTCTTTTGTTGTTGTTTTGCTTGGTTCATAAGAAAGAGAGAAAGGTACTACTTATCCGTCAGACACATGCATCCTCATGTGGTCGTTGAACTGCTCGATTTGGTCAAACTTTGCTGGGCAGACGGAGCAGACGTAAGTGGTCCCCTCGGTGCAGGCCACCACGCCTGGTGGGCCGGCGCGGGCACCCGGGGGTGTGCCTGCGGGAGGGGTCCCGTTGCTGGCGCTGTGCAGGGCCACATGGCGCTCCAGCAGGGTCTTGTGGGAGAACTTCTTCTTGCAGATGTAGCACTCGTAGGACTTCTCCCCGCGGTGCAGGCGCATGTGCACGTTGAGGGAGCTCTTCTGGGTGAAGCGCTTGTTGCAGATGCTGCACTGGTAGGCTCGCACGCCTGTGTGGGTCACCATGTGCTTGATAAGGTAATCCTTCAAGGAGAAGGAGCGCCAACAGATGCTGCACTGGTGCGGCTTCTCACCTGTTGAGGCGGGAGAGACAGCAAGCAGAACAGAAGGAGACACAGCCAGAGTGGAGAACGAGAGACAGGAGAACAAGACGACAAAAAAGAAAAACAAAAAATTACAACAAAAATACAATTTGATTGTTTCCTGGGTCATCCTTGGTTGGAAAGATCTAGGTCTTCCTGGCCTTTCTTGTTCAGAAGAAGCTTGGTTTCAGGATGCCAGGAAAGTCTAGAGTTTTCCATTTCCCCATGACCAAAAATGGCTCTCTTGGAAAGCAACAGCATACTACCACCCACCTCTTCAAAGGTCATCCAGAAGAGAAAAAAAGGATAAGAGTCATTCTCGGTACCATTATTAAAGATTTATGTATTTCCAGTTAGTATTAGCAAACAAATGTAAGAATTAAGAGAATATCTTGGAGGCAGGGCTTTTCCACAACCTTTGGGAAGTGAGACTATTGGTCACATAACTTGGTTCTTTCGGGGGAAGTCTCCGTTTCCACTATCCGGCCTAGTAAATGCCCCCATTATTGAGTACTGCCCTGGGCTGCTGGGCTACGCTTTCAGTTTATCTGCGTCTCACTGAACATCTCCCTGACATGAAACCTAAGAGTGAACTGGCTGGTCTGTGCTGACTGCACTGGTCTGCAGACTGACCTCACTGCTGTGGAAGCTGAATGGATGGTGCACAACCCTTGACCTCTGAGTCACATGGCCCTGTTCAAGAACAGGCACCAGCACACAGTACACCATTATACCAAATCACCAAGAGTCTCCGAGGTATACAGTCCCACTTACCTCACTGTGACGGTGTTGACATGAAATACATATGGAATCACTTTGTAGACCACCAAGGGTGGTGTGGGAATACTTGCATGGCATTCTTATTACAAGGCTACATCCTCTCCCATTAAATGGTTCCATATGTTTTTTGAACTTTTAGGTCAATTTCTAAAATAGTTTTTTTCTGTCTATTTTTTTTTTCTTAGCCAGCTGGCACAAGCCCTTCTTTCTTGTGTGTTTACTGTTTTGTCGACCATTGGCTCTGAAACCAAATGATCTTGCTAGTTAAAAATAGTAAGGTAAGAATAGTCACTGGATGATGACATGAGGGACCCTCCTAGAAGTAAAGCCCATGGGTGTGGGGCATCACTTTGGATAACTGCTTAAAGACTAGCTTTTGTTAGTAGTATTGGTTCGCAACACTTGCTGCTTTCTGATTTTGATGGCTGACATGAACTCTCTACCGTGTATGATCCACCTTTTCCATCTCATTACTGATAGCCTGAAGTAGGCATTTGCTTCAGTGCCCAAAGGGTCAAGCCTGAGACCCTCTCAGGCAATGTTTCAACATCTGAAATGTGCAGCGAGACAAGAGGTCCACTCCTTCAGCTTGAGTTAACTCCCATTTAAAAAAGGGCCTTGCTGGGCGGTGGTGGTGCACACCTTTTAATCCCAGCACTCTGGAGGCAGAGGCAGGCCGATTTCTGTGAGTTCAAGGCCAGCCTAGACTACAGAGTGAGTTCTAGGAAAGGCGCAAAGCTACACAGAGAGCCCCCAACTGGATCAGGCCCTTTGGATAAATAAGACAGTTGATTAGCTTGATCTGCTTGGGAGGCATCCAGACAGTGGGACCGGGTCCTGTGCTCAGTGCATGAACTGGGGCTTATGCAGGGACACCTGGCTCAGCCTGGGAGGAGGGGACTGGACCTGCCTGGACTGAATCTACCAGGTTGAACTCAATCCT